GAAATTGATGAGTGGAACATTGTCTGATGAGCTTTCTTCTGCAGTGGCACTAGCACTAGCTCTGTTTTCTCCTTTGGAGGATAAGTAGTATAGCCAGTATCTGGCTTCATACTTTTTCCCTTTAACTGCAGCGCCCATAGATTCCAAAATATGTCCAATATACAGACCTTGACAGAGATACTTCTGATTGTGCTTTCCTAGATGTTTTGAAATGGATTTGAAAAAGTGTGCAGCCCAGTTTACCTTAGTTTTGGTAATGAGAGAGTTGATGATGAAGGCTCTCTCCTGGGTGATGTCATCGGCATGACCTCCACTTCCACACTCGAGGCAAGCGATGACCAGTTCCAAAACCAACTTGTAATCGTTGTTTAGATCTGCTTTCTTCGCTGGGCCAGAAGGAACTTGCACAGAGATTCCAATGATGTTCCAGTCCAGATTTTTGACTGGAAATTTCCCAACTTCAACTCCAGAATTGGGAAGGCGAAGCTTTTCTCCCAATTTCTTTTGCGAAAGCTTCACTTTTGTACCTCCAAGAGTGGACTTGATGACTGGAAACGTCTTCTGTGGGTTCTTCTTTGAATGAGCAGTTTTGAACTCTCCATTTCTGTAGAATTCAAGAACTTCTTCCTCGAATTTGAGGCGAATCTCCATTTGAAGAAATTCGGAGAGTTCTTGAGCAGCTATCATTTGCAGATAGCTTTGAAAGAATGTTGGTGATGAGCACTTGACAACCTTCATTTTCTCAGAAAATTTAAAAGATCTGAAGAAATTAGGGTTCTTGAGAAATTTATCAGAAGATTCTCGTGAAGAAGGCGATGAAAGATTTGAGTGTGCTGAGTGGGCAGTTGAGGTCTGATTATAGTGACGATTGGGTTTTTAACTGTTCCCAAGGCCACGTCCCCACCCATCATTTTGATAGACGTGGAAAAATGAACTGCCACCTGCACCACACTCAGTCTAATTGAATTAGACCAATTTTGTGAAGCAAATCGGAAAACTTGGCTTCACTTAGTGGTTTGGTGAAGATATCCGCCAGTTGTTCTTCAGTTGAGATATACTCAATTTTGATATCTTTCTTTTCCACATGATCTCTGATGAAGTGATGCTTGACATCAATGTGCTTAGTGCGAGAATGATGCACCGGGTTTTGAGAGATGGCTATGGCACTTTGATTGTCACAAAAGATTGTCACTTCCTTTGTCTTGACTCCATAATCCAGTAGTTGTTGCTTTAGCCACAAAACTTGAGCACAACAACTACCAGCTGCAATGTACTCTGCTTCTGCTTTTGATGTAGAAATGGAGTTTTGTTTCTTACTGAACCAAGAAACAAGATTTCCACCAATGAATTGACAAGTACCAGATATACTTTTCCGGTCAACTTTGCATCCGGCAAAGTCAGAATCTGAGTATCCCACTAACTCAAATGAATTGCTCTTAGCATACCACAAACCCATGTTCTGAGTTCCTTTGAGGTATCTAAGAATCCTTTTAGCTGCTATCAGATGACTTTCCTTTGGCTTTGACTGGAATCTGGCACAAACACCTACTGCATATGAGATATCCGGACGGCTTGCAGTAAGGTAAAGTAGAGATCCGACAAT